GTGCGTGAGGGTGGCATGGCCGGAGACGTTGGTGTGACAGGCGGCTGCCGGGATAGAGGATATAAGAAGAAGGAGGAGGAGGAAGTGGCCCCTCAAGTGGGTCTGGAGAGGCACAAGAAAAAGCAGGCACTGAATTATGCAAAAGATTTACGCGCTGCCTTCCGACGGCTCAAAAACTTTTGGGGCGTTGGCAGGCTTCTTCCCAATGCTGGCTGACACTGTATACAATTTTTGTACCCGGACACCGCAGTGAAAATAGCGTATGACAGTTGTACACTCGCCGAAGAAGGAAGACCATTCGCCTATGCGATGCCAGATGGCTGGAGTTCCAGCATGATGAGGTGCAGTCTCTCAGAACGAACAAGCCGCAAATTTGTAGGCTACAAAGCCTTGGGATTACCTCGAAAAGTGCTCAGCAGGCCTCTGGCCAAGTGACAGAACAGGCCGCTCTGTGGACGACATTGGGTCTGAGCTTATGAGGCAGTTAATCATTTCAAGGGGACCACGATCCATCCACTTTAGGAAACAGTAAACTAAATAAATTATTACTACAATTTGTAATAACCCTACGATCCTCAGGCTTATATTCTGCCATTAGATGGCCATCCACCAAGGAGGCTCACTTTTCATCTAAGCTAATCAGGCGCTGTTCACGATCCTTCCTCCGAGATCCAATGGGTTCGCCTGCTGCTAATATTTGCCTCTACAATTTTCTCATATCAATACCGGCTGGGTTCTCCAAGTCCAATAATCACTCAATTTAAAAGCAATATGGCGCCTAGCGGTCAAATGGCAATAAAAATCAATATTGAACTCAGCGCACACAACCGGCGGCTGGGGCTGGGGCTGGGACTGGGACTCGTGAACCGAAATTCGTAGGAAATAAATCGCATGCGATAGAAATGAGCGTTGGATTCTATTAAAAGGAGGCAGTCAGCGAGAAGTAATCCGAGAGGAATATGCAAAAGGCTCTTTGATCGCAGCCGCATGCAGAGAGGCATCCCCTTTGATCCCGAAGACGGACACACGACGGCAGGTAGAAGAAACCACAGGGCGAAAATCGTTGAAATATTTCAATTAACTTAAAGTGCGCCGCCGCTGCTTGCGAAGCAGAGAGAGAGAGTCCGGTGAAAAGGGGGTAACCGGCGATGTGGAGTCGGTCTTGGGCCATCGGGACCATCGGACCATCGGAGGATCGGGACTTGGCGTCGACAATAAACAATGTTTTGACAAATCGCTGAAAATTGAGTGCGCAAAATTATTATTTTCAATTTAAAAATCAAAAGCGAGCGGGAGGTGTGCGCGGCCAACATCCCCGGAGCACTCTGGATCCGCGAACCGTGTGTGTGTGCAACGATATATGGGTATTAAATTTTGCCGCCTTGACTTTGCTTGTGGCGAGGCGCAGGCAGTGGAGAGTGCCTCGGCCTTAGTCGAATGTAATGGAGACCCCATAAAGTAGTAGTAGGAGCACTGGATTGCGATTTCTGGTTGCTTCTCACCTAGCTTCCTCGTTCACTGGGCACGGCCTGCTCCTGCTAATGATTCCAAATTAAGAATTTAATATCGCCAGATCGCGTTGCTGCCATGTGAGTGTGTGGGTTGATCACGTGGTTATAAATTTGCAGGAAAACTGCATGATCAACCTGGATGGGCTGGTCTGGGCTGGGCTCGCGGTGTGGGCCATTACAGTAAATCAGCGAAAACAATTCCCAAAGCTGGTTAGCCATTAGCAAGTGTAAGGAACTCTTTTAACTGGCTGACCTTTGGAATAGTTTCACGCCTGGCAGGCAGCAGAAGTTACTTTGGCAGTTTTGCTCCAGCTACGCCTACTTCAATCAAATTTTTTGATTGGATTGTTTCGGAAGCAAGTCGTCATTAAATCAAATATCATAATTATATAAACAGCTAACGTGCGGGAGAAAGGTCTTTCGGCTGCTGCAACGAACCCAGCAGCAGCGGCTACGATCCCTAGCTCTGGCCAGAAAGACCTCGCCGTTTTGATTAAAATCGAGTATCTGAAATCTTCTGTATTACTATCTGCGGGGCATTCGGCAACTGAAAAGCGCTCTGCGGAAACTGGGCTCCGAATGTTCACACATTCACTGAGCAGGGAACCGTGGCTGAAACCGAGACGGCGATAGGAGTGACTGCCAAGTGGCAGCAAATCAGTAGGTAAACTGAACGTTAACGTTAACCTGATTACGGTTATTAGAGCCTATAAGAAAGATGGCATAGAAGCCATAGTTGTTGGCCAGGCCAGAGCTGCTGCGTCTTTCCATTCTCACTACGCATCGGGGCCGCAGGGCAGGTAGGGTGGGTCCACTCCGGTACGGTCCGGTCAGGACCAAGCTCCACTGATCCGTGGCGTGAACTATTGAAGTGTAAGAGAGTACACATTATGCTGATTATAATCAGCGATGCCAGCAAAGTTGAATGATTACGTCCGAGCGAACCGGAGCACAAGTGCAGCTCATTAGCTTGTAACGGTAAAGAGCAGTGCTATCCATCCAGGAAAATCGATAAAATTAAAGGAAGAAAGCAGACAAGAAACAACTGCCTCCTCCTCAGCGCTTTTCCGTTCTCCATTTTCCTTCTTCCTTACGCCGCATGCCACATGCTAATGAGTGGAATGAACTCAAAATCCGGATTGTCCCGAGTCCGACGACTCCATCTTCAAATTGAGAGAAAATACAGCCAAAAAGAGAGGAGAGCGCTTCTTAAAATTAGTTTAAAAATCTGTATATGTACGCTGAAAAAAGGAAAAATTACTTTTGAGGGTTGGCACACACACACAAAAGTTTGGGAGTGGGGAAAACTTTTCTCGCCGAAACGAAAAGTTAATGAGATTCTTATGGGGGCTGCAGTATTAACACAAGCTATCACAATTAATACTTGATTATATGACCAAAGGATACTGAATTTCTAACTTGAATTCACTTTAGAATGAATATTTATTAGGCACTCTGCCTGTCTGTCTCTCTTTTGCTTTTGTATGGACGATTGTACATTGTTCGTTAGAAATCAAAAATTGTACACTCCAATGTGTGTGTGTGAGTGCGTGTGTACGGTTGCGTAATAAACAAATATCGAGTAAAAAGTGCCATGCACAAAAAAGGAAACTGCGTCCCTTTGGCAAAGGGCGCACACACAAGCAAATTCGTGTGTATACTTTTGTCTGCGTAGAAAAGAGGAAAAAAATTACGGGCTGTAATTATGCAAATTAGTCCTGAGTCCTGTGTCCCGAGTTCTGTGTCCTCCGTCCCATTGTGGGGCGAATGCGCGATAGCTGAGAGCGAGCTAGGTCCCGGGGCAGGAAACCAACTACAGAATCTCCGAAAATATTCCTTTGAATATTTACGGAGCACAACACGCACACTCATTAATTTTCATCAATGAGCAGGCGAACCTAAGCCGCAGCTTAGAGCGGCGAATGTGAATTTTGTTTCTATTTTTTTTGTTCCTCTTTCTTTTTTGCATACTTACATATATCCTGAATATCTAGCCCAGCCAATGACAGCAGGGACTCTCGAATGTGCCGCGCATCATTAATTTTTAGAGCTTAGCCAGATGACAAGCCCGAACAACAAACACAACCAGAGCAACCGCCCGAAAGAAGTAACGAATCGATCCAGAGATGATGCTCAAAGCCACAATATCCATATAGACATGGCTGGAGCTTCAACGCTCCACTGCCATTTGTGATAAAAAAAATATATATTTAAAAAAAGAGCCCGAGTTGACAACGAGAACGAGAACTATGAAACGAAAAATCGTTAAAAATGAACGAGGAAATCCAGTGGGCAGGACAGGCAACCTAAGCCGATCCACAGAGAACTCAACCATCAAGACGCGGATTCCGAAAACGGGACACAAAGCAAAAAGTTTGGAATATTTATGAATTTCAAGGATTTCTATTTGACGTTTGGGAAACGTTGAGTAAAATCAGAATTTAAATGAAGCAAACATACAAGAGCAGCGGGGGAAGTGATTCCGACAGGCCAAAGGATTTGAAGAGATTTTTGTGAATGTTTCAGAATCATTAATATTCATTTTGTTTGATGTTACGAAATGTAAATAAAAAAGAATAGCTGAAATACGAATGTCTTTTCTAGTTTCTGGTGAAGCAAAGTTCCCTAAATACAATACATTAATTTAATTGCTCATAATTTCTGAACTAGTGAAAGTTTTCTAGGCTTTCACATATCGACCTGAAAAGTAATCCGATTCTACATCAAAAATCACGCATTTCCGGCACGTATGGCACTTCCGGTCAAGCTCATGTCGAACAGCATGTGCTTCCGTCTCCTTTAGCCTTTTGCCTTTTTGCTCCTACGCGCAACTAAAGAAAAAATGTTAACTCATTTGCTGGGAAAATGACTTTTTAATATGCGACACACTTTACCGACTGTATTTGAATAATTATTAAAGTCCAGACTCGTAGAAATACGCATGAGAGTCCTTGAGCTTTGGCGGAAGTGCGTAGTGGTCATTAGGCTGGGCATTATATCGCCGCAGCCCCTGGACGCGTGCCGAGTACGGAGTCCGCTAAATGGTCAAGTGGTGGTCATTCACGTTTACCACATGAGTTCAGGGTAATACACGACACGAATCCAGGACTGGGACTTGTTTGGCGTTGTTAATTATCCAAGAATATGCCTTATATTAGTAGAGCCTCTAATTTGCATAAGTGTAACTGTGTGGTGGCTGGGTGATTAGGAGTCCAAGAATATTAATGAAGAATAACGCTTTTTTGGTCACATAACTGGTTTACTTTCACTTGTTTTCATAGTTACAGCATAAATGAGTTTCTGATGGCAAACGGAAACTGGCTTACAAATGGTCAAGCCATAAGAAAAGTTGGTTCAGTAATATGGCTTTCTATCTTTTAAATAACGACTATTGCCTGGCTTTTTTACGTAATTAGAAAACGAGAACAACTCTTTGAATTTAGAAAATGCTTTAAACTTTGGCATCAAGTTTGCCATGATCTGTTTTCTGACACCTTTCAAATGTGTGTACGACTTGTCCTGCCTTTTAAATATCAGTCTTACGCCGGCATCAAACCCCATAACATCAAATATATCTTGTTAAGTGTTCAAGTGTTTTGGATTTTCGTTGGTCCAGTAAGTAACTAACTAAGAAATTACCTTTCTTTATGGCTTTAAAATTGAATCCTTAGATCTTTCAAGGCTTAGTCATGTGTTGTGGACCTTGCTGTGACACCTGCTACTACCCCTGCTGCAGTCCTTGCTTCAGTGGTAGACGCTTTGGACCGCGATGCGGCTTCTATAGTGGACCATGTGGACCTTGCTGTGGCGGCGGCTGCTGCAGTAGTTGCGGTCCCTCCTGCTAAGATGAGCAAGATGCTTGAATACTTAAACTTAAAACTTAAAAACAAGATAAGGTTGTAATAAAGGTGTAAGACTTACATAACTTCAAATCTTTGCCTTTCTCCCTTCGTATATCAAGATGTTTCGTGCCTCCGAAATGTTACGCCCTAAGCCCATCAATTACAATGCTAATTGCCCAATGACCGCTATAAAATCCCCCTATGTGGTGCTCCGCTTGTATAATTTTTAATGCTAATTTATGCACTGCCCAAAGCAAAAGTCAAACAATCACTATTCGCCAGGATAAACACTTCAGGAGTCAGCGGGTCAGCTAGAAACCAGTTGACCCGACTGACCGGCCTGGTCACTTCCTGTTTTATACACCCTCCTGCTCTCGCCCAATCGCCAGTGGTCAGTGTGAACACAAATTAACGAGCGTGTTATTAGGGGGTTGGGTGACAAGGCAAACATGACATGAATCGCATTATCAATTCAAGTGGCAGTAATTAGCTTTGAATTGGTGGTAGGGTCCGAGGGTCTTGTGAGCCCTTTCAGCTTGACCGTTGTTTGGTTTACTTTCAAAGATCGGTCTCGGTATTCGCTATTAATAGATATATCCCAGAATATGCGTTGTCCCATAAGGGAAGATTATCGCCTTGCTGCAGCGAGTAATAAAACCAGCTGGTCCAGCGCCTCCCCCGTCCTTGGTATCCTCAACATCCACATCACATTCAAGTCCGCGAGTCGCGTCTGGCGGCGACAGGGGACACATTATTTTAATTTTCCACCGAAATTTCTTTGCTTTTACGCAGAAAAATACCCCAAACTAAATGTACCCGAAGAGAACAAAAAGGCATTCGAAGGGTGGCAAGGAAAAGCCAAAATAAAAATTGAAAATCGTAAAAAAGCGATGCTTTCTCAGCATCACATTAAATGAGTCTAAATAATTTACGTCGAATCCAGAGTGTGTGTGTGTGTGTGGGGGGGGGGTACAGGTTGCCTTGCGGAGGGATTGATGGCCTTGGGGTAGTAAGCAATGGGAGGCAACACCCAAAGCGACATGTGCGGCAGCAAGACAGTACCAATGCTAATTTTTTAACGTTTGTCCAGTACTTTTTTTTGGGAGAAAAAGTGGCTTAGTGAAACGAATCATTGAATATCTTCTTAACAAGAAGTAACCTCAGTAAAAATAATTATAGAATTATTTTCTTTATTTAGTCCTTATTTTATATAAATTGCAAACTTTTGGAAAAACTTTTGCTTCCTTTATCATCATCTTAAGATGTGTTTGATCGACTCGAGCCTATCTCCCATGTACAGGGTATCACAAGAATCAACCCCTGCAAACTCCCCAAAAACCCGAAACATTTTTAAATATCCTAGGCGTTTTTTTTAAGGACATGTGTCTGTGAATTTTGTGCGTGTGTCTGTGGGCCGCTTATGCCAAGAATTAATATTTGTTCTCTGGGCCCTTGGCAACGCGCCCTTAACGCATTTTTTAATGCCATCTTTGGCATAGCGTGTGTGTATGTATGTATGTGTATTTGCTCATTAAGCAAAAACAAAGTTGGGGAAAAGTTTTTACCATCTTCAGACATTTTTTTTTGTTTTCCGTTTTGCTTACATTTTTCTTTTGCTTTTTGCCTTTTGTATCTCGGGGTTTCTCTATGCGTGCGGGTGTTTCTTTTAGAAACACAGGGTGCCTCTTTCCTTTGGAACCGGATATTTCAGTCTTTGATTACTTCAAACCAGCAAGAGGCTTTTAGGTAGTTGGTAACTTGTTAATTGTTTCCTAAATTCAAATGGGTAAGCCTTAAGCAAGCCATTTTTAGAGACATCCTGTATTTTATATACTGTCCAGCTTCCCTCATTAATTTTTCCTTATCTTGACGTAAAAGGTTTCTTATTTATTTACGTGCTTACTTGCAGGTATTGTCTTGAACCTTCAATATTGTATTTTGAAAGTTATTATTAATAAGTTATTATTAATAACTATTCAAGTGGGCCTAAGAATATATTATATTTCGAATTCGTTTCACATTAAGCAGGTTTTTATCCTTTGGCTAGGGTTAGCCGCACATCCCTGATCCCCCCTTCCACCACGGCTTATAATGAGCAACTTAGCTGACCACATCATAAGTCAGACCCTTCCCAGCGCCTTTTAATAATCTTAATAACAGTTATGCCTCTATCGTCCGCCATTATGGAAATCAAAGCCAACGGATACAGTGCCGCGGCAGCAGCATCGCTCACCGCACCACAGCTGCTGCGGCATCACCAGCGGCGATGGTGACCAACAAAAGTCAGCAGCAGAAAACTCGTCGAAAATTCACAGCATTTCATTCGAAAGCCGAGTAATTACGCATTCAAGTAGAAAAAGTTTATCTCTTGTCGAAAAATTGAAAAATTTTCATTTCATAAAATGAGATTAAAACGCGAATTCCCCCTGGTTGCCGTTGATGGGCGAAGCTGTGGCCGTGTGGAGGCTGGGGAGGCGGAGGCTGTGGAAGAGTTCACTGAGAGCCGCCGTAAAGCCGTGCAAACCGCAAAACCTCGGGAATGGCTTGAAAGGATGGCGGGGGCTGGGACGAAGAGGAAAGCTCGCCGGGAAGGGCTTAAATCTAGAAAGTTTACTGCCAAAATATTTTTAAGAAAATTACAATAACGTCGAAGAAAGCGGCGTGGAGCACAGGACCCCGGGGGGTAGGAGCGGCTACGAGGTGATGGTGGGCGGTGGGGGGTCCAAGGCAAGTGAAAGAGCTGGGAAACGAAAATAATAATGGCCGCCGACGCAGGACAGCGCGTCTGTCAAGGAAAGGGTTTTCAGAATGAGACGACGACGATGATGCTTGGAGCGATGAGGGCGAGATGCCTGCGATGACAATCTGGCAACGCCGCGGAGTGTGTGCGTGTGTTTGTGCGTTTGCCGGGGTGTTTGTCCTGTCCATGTCCATACGCACTTTCAACCCTTTTTCGCGCTGGCGGGGAAAAATTGCGTAAAGTGCGAAATTCAGTGCTACGTGCTCTGGTGTGTGTCGTTTCTGTATACGGGTACTTCCACACACACACACACACAGCCCTTTACATTATGTACTTCGAGAATGTTTCAGTTTACGATATATACTCGAACCCCGCTTCCTTCGCAGAAGTAGATAGCAACTAAAAGGGTTGGCTAGAAAATGTATCCTTTTGGCAGTTATTGGATTTCAAAATGAAATCCATTTGATGGCAAACGAAGCTTTGATATGTGGGGTAAACGCGGCCTTAGAAGCTCGGTAGTTAAATAAATTAACAGCCAGCGGGCAGGAGTTGGCCGAGGGATGAGTAATATAGCTGTCACAAGGGGTTTCTCTTAGCATTGACTGATGTAAATTAAAAATTAAATTTAAGAGCGCTAGAAAACGCGTGAGGCTAGAGGTATTTGCTTAAAATATGAGGACTGGGTAGGACTCTTTAGATGAAAATTTGTGAGAATAGGAATCTAGTGTACTGACTCCCTAAATTGTAGTTAGGTAACAATTTTCTCAAGGACTTTAATCCTTTTTGGTTATATCAACTTCTTTTCTTCTAAGCCTGAGTGACGCCCCGGGTCAGTTTTCATTCAAAAGTTATTGCCTTATCCTAGAAACCAATAACTCAGTCGAATGCCGACGGCGAAATGAATAGCTCAAATACCAAACAAAACAGAAAACATCTCAGAAAGAGGCAGCTGCATCCCGAAAAAAAGAAGAAAATCAAACGGGGTACATAGAAACGAGGATACAGGAGAGTTTGGAAAATTTGCATATATGAAACCAATTGATAAAGCGGGAAAATCGGGAAGCTGATGCAGGATGCTGTGGCGGAACGATGGCAGGGGAAGCGCGCTTCACATGACAGACAATTCAGAAAGCGAACATTGGATTGAATCATTTAGCGAACAAAGGCAGAAAGGTGCCAAATATTAGGCAGGACGACAAAGAAGAAAAAAATGAATCGCTTTCATATGCAAATTCAAGTGCAATTCGAGCGAGTTGAGTGAAACCCATAATGGGAATCTGATTTTGATTTGGCACGTAGCCTACAGCCAGATAGAGACGGCGGTGCCCGGGTCCGTCCTTTAGTGAAAGTGGCGCTCTTAAGGGCCTCCCCTGCTCCGAAGCTGCTGAGACTTTCTTCCCTCTTGGACCCCCCGAGGCCCTTGCTAATCCCTTCCAAATGAAAAGCAGCGTGCGGCCTGCAAAGTGTGTAGTTAAGTTCGCTTTTCCCCGCTTTATATGTTGTGTGCTTATAAATTTCAGCGTGGAAGACAAAATGGCGTCGCTTCTCGAACTAATCCAATTTATTACAGCTCCATAACTTTTTCCCATTTGCCTTTTCCTCGACTGCTTGCCCTCCGTTCCACACTCGAGACTGACAGACGCTAAATGCGTCTTATTAGATGAGCTGTGTGTGTGTGCCCGGGTGTGGGTGTGTGTGCCATGTTTACCCTCGCCCTTTCAGCTCTACTATATTCCTATTCCCAGCGAACTTTTGACTCTTACTCCACCCCCCCACCCTTGAAGGGGTCGTCTGCTTCAATTTCAAGCTTCTATCTTTATTTTTTTTTCTCCTTTTTATGATAAATTGCATTTAGCAACCACCGACGCCCAAGACACCGCGATGGTGGTGCCACCACCACCAACCAACCCACACTGCCACCCTCTCCTAGACAAATGCAATGGGGGATGGGAGTGGGGTTGAGAGCATGCGTTTCCATTGTTGTTGTTAGGATATGGACACACTCGTGTAAAGGATTTAACTTACGATTAAATCTAAGGCGGTTCACCCCCGTATTGATTCTTGGAAAATGGCTGATGGCGTTAGTCTGTTTAGCTATTAGTACGATGTACTAGTTTAGGCTGATTACTCAGGACTTATATATCATTTATAGGGTTAGAAACGTCTCCTTCAACTGACCGCTTTGCAAACTTCTGGCTTGAATTATATTATAAAATATAATCGGTACAAAATAAATTGTTAGATTATATCCCACCTTAGTTGTAAATGTTATTAACTCTTCAATCATATTAGAACATTTGGCTTTTATTTATTGCTTTAGCCTTGTTAATATAAGCTCCATCTTGACTGTGTAACCAAGCTGTAACCTCTCTCTTTAGACAACAAATTGCGTGAAAATCTGTTTGTATTTCTTTCGCGGGTCTGAAAAAATGATTATAGATTTTGCTGCATTAAAATGAAAAATATTTACTTGCGCTGCTAGAAAGTTTATCAAGAGGATAAATGTCTATATGCTAGACTGTGTCTACCGAGAACTCAACTTCACTTGGCTCGATTTTCAAGCTGATTTCCCACTGACAAATATCGCGTGTTTGTCCTTGATCCCATGGAGCGTTAAGTGCATCCTAGCGGCAGCTCCTTTCGTGTCTGGGAAAACAATGAAAAATTCATGCAAATGAAAAATAAATGCACACAAGCCAAAAAGGATAATGCAGCAAGGAGCTGCTCCACGGTGCGGCGGGTAAAATAGAAACACATTTCGGACTCGGACTCGGGTGCTCCGCTTCGACTCCTTTGTCTGTGCCACGAAATTTCAATAAATTATGCAAAAATTTTCGTGGTTTTCGCGCTTTACTCTTGGTCGTTTCTCCTCCCTTTTATGCAACATTTTTACTTGCTGTTTTATTCAAATTTGTGTGCATTTTTTATTTTCGGGGAAAACAACATTTCGCGGAGTGAGAAAAAAGTGGCAGGAGGAGTATCATCAACCCTTTTCGGTGCCGCATCCGACGCAGCATCCAGCTGTTTGAATAAATCCCTTTTTCAGGGAGATCCTCAGCGATCTTTGTCTGGCGATATTGTGTGCTCAGGTAAGCGATACACACATATGCAAATAAGTTTGATTAAAAATTTAAATGAGGTCCCTGCCAGGGGACACCTTTTTTTGTGAAAGGGAAAAGAAAACATTGACAGCTGCGTTTTAAGTTCTCAAATTTGTGGATCGTAATTTAATTCACCTTTTGAACTCCACATTGAATATCATAGACAGATTGATATAAGTTGAGAGCACATTTATGTTGAGCCTTCATTCTGCATTGCGCCTTCGAGGGAATAGGTCTATATCTCACCTGCCATCAAATATGATGGTCTATGTAGTTGTAGGATGCAGCCAAGGCCCATTCTTCGCACATATACAATTTTCAATTTTTCACTGTTACCCAGATAACTGTGATTCGACCGATCACAGCTTGGTAACTAGAATGAAATTACTACTAGAACCGAGGCACGAGCGAGCGTCCATGGTCTGCACCTGAATGCGCCATGTACTTGCTCGCCGTGCCGAGCAGCAGCCGCAATACAAATGATTATGTTTATACTATTAAAGTAATTTACTAAAAAATGACGCCCTGCCAAAACAAGATAATCCGATGTAAGCAGAGTCGCCGTCGCCGTCGCCTCTTCCTCTCCTACTCCCTAACCAGAGCCAGAGAGCTGATCGTCAAAGTCAACCGCTTTAGCTGGGGGTTAAGTAGCTGGCTGTCTACTTAAGCATAATCGAAACACGGCAGGGGGAATCGGTTCGGCGATCAAACGGCCATTTCGCTGGAGGATCGCTGGCTTTATCACAACATTTTGCCAAGAAGATGGATAAGTGTGGTCAAGTGCGAGCTGCTGATGGGGGCATCGTGGCAGGCGGGTTGCTGCCCGATCGCATCTCGATCGTTCTCCGTTTGCTGGCCGCTCTGGTAGCCGAGGTGCGAGATCTGCAAATAATGTGGCCAACTCTGTCGGAGCAACATCAGCGCTTGATCTCTGGGGGCCATGTGTGCTGTTGCCTCGCTGGCCTTCAGCCTTCAGCTAGCGATCGTTAGCTTTAGTTGCCTCCTCCGCGACCGGTTGGATACAGCTCTATTAACCCCTGCCGCTGATTTGGTGATAACGATCGTAATCGTAGCGGTACTCTAGGTGCAACACATGTTGCACTTTCCACGACTCCCAACCACCTGGCTGTGTGCTGTATTATTTTCCTTAATTTAGAAAATGGTTTCCCTCGCTGAAATTAGTATGATTCCATAGTCTTGTTAAAAATGCTGCAGTACCCTGAGGGGAAACATGTGTTTTGGCTCCTATATGGCTTTGATCTGTCGATCAGTCTTTCTTCCAAGTGAGATGTGGGGAATTCAAGCAGACTTTCGCATAGCACAACATACAAGTTGCATAGGAAATCTATGTAACAATGAGGTGGTTGCCGCTTGGCTATTGGTTGGGCTTAATTGTTTTGCAGTGTAGCAACAAAACAAAACCATCAAATGGAAGAAAGAGTTTTATTTCACGTAGCTAGGCCTGCCTGCCAGTGACTATAATCAGGCAAATAAATACAAATGTTTATTAAATCCATACTCATAAATATGCATGGGTCACAAGGGTATGCCTACAGTCTAGAATCCAAGAGGCATGGGGTCCTCTAATTAAGCCCAAAAAAAAGGGGTTTGACGCTATGCATACACAGTCGATGAAATAAATACTCTTCGATTCGATTCCATTCATTCGCGTAACGAAAAAATTAAGTGGCATAAATATGCATGAGGGGGTATATATACTTGTAAAAAGAAATGTTATCCTTGGCAGCATTTAACCCCCTGGAGAAAGTTGCAGCTGAAAGCTGTTTGCATAGTTGCCGTGTCCAAACAAATACGAAAGCTATTTAATGAGTGAGCGCAGTATAAACGGAAAAAAGGTTTACAATTAAGCGCCTTCATTGGATGGAATTTTCATGTATCTGACTTTGCGGTTCATTGATTAAAATCAAACTGTTTTTTAGGGGTAGAAAACCTCCCTCGCCTAAGGACATGCAAAATACACACGTACAGGTCTTCCTTCCTCTGTTTGTTTAATTATTTTTTGTCGTGCTCTGATGGTTTGTCATTCTCATTAGAGAAGTAATACGAGTGGATACTCCTGCTAACCTTAAATGTTGTGGCTGTATGTTTCGTTTATCAATCGCCATGTATCATTTATTCGTTCTTTTATCGTTCTGCCACAGTTGCGGCGAATGATTTTAATTTTAGATTAGTCAAATGAAAAAGAATAACAATAAAGTCCTTGCCTTTTTACCCATCACAACACACATCGTCGCATCGACAGGCATGTTGTCAATATGGCTTAATATTTGGCTTGCATGGCTCTGGTTACTTAATTTAAAAGACACCCAACGATTATTGGTTTGAAATTGCTTAGAACACGCGAATACATTTTAGCAGTTTTTTTCTGCTTCTGCGAATATTCTGGGTATTTGCACGGTTGAGTAAATAGGTAGGCGTTGATCCAGAAAATTCGCTATTTTTATCGTTTATTGCCGCCAGGGGGGTTAGCGATGGGTTGTTGTGAGACTTACATACATATTAGTCATTCACAAAGTCAACCCAGAGAACCACTTAGCAGCACCCGGGTGTCATATGTCGTCTCCAAAACAAGGCCTCAGCTAAATCTAAATGTAGCCCCAAATATAAAACCATTAATCTCTTGCCCGCCAGCATCTCGCCTGCACACTCTCATTGTCCGGTCACATGCAATGTGGTTGCTACTTGTTGCTGAAGCTGCTGCTGCTTCTGATGATGAGAATAGCCACGGCCAGGGTGTTGCAGTATCAGCCTCAACCTCACCTTTCACGATGCGATTTGCATAGCGTTTAGACTGCCACGTCGGCATCGCGTATTAATATATTTAAGTCATAAACGCGCGCTTTCCTTTCAAGCCATGTTCGGTTTCACATCTCTTATCCGAGCCATTTGTGCCGCAGTAGTCCTCGGTAGCTCTGTAGGCCGGTGGAACGGTGAAGAAGTGGCAGCATGCGCAGCGATGCTCACGTGTACACGAAAATCTTTTTGTGCGCAACAAGTTCTTGAACAAAGTTCTCAGCTGATAAATGATATTGCAAACCGTTCCTGACTCGATATGCATAGAGTTGCGGCTGCTGGCCATTAATAATTTCGGTGGAACGGCAGCTAAGCTACGCTGTTGACCTGCAGAGCAGCTTGTATTGTTATATTCCCCTTTGTTTGGCGGTCCCAAGACAAGAAGTTAAGAATCTTGGCCTGAAATGGCCAGCTCATGAGCCTGCCATTTATGACACACAAGTTTTTGCCTGCTATCAATACCCATACATATATGATAGCCAGGACCTTTGCACACATCCCAAACATCCCGATCCCGATAAGCGATCTGTGGAGCAGCCCAAAAGCTTCCACAAGTTGCCACTTGGGGGAGGACCGATGATGGATTATTGGTACGTGTTGCAAGGCGGGTGTCGAGGATGTAGAATAGGACAGCCAGCAGCAGCACGAGAACACGAGACTCATTAATCCTGGTGGCAAACGGGCGGCCGGGAGTGGGAGCGGGACCTTTGGCTGCCTTGGCACGACTCATTTGTGCTAAAAACTTTCCGGCTTGATAAATTGCCCGACACCCAAACGGCACACAAGCGAGCAGCACACATTCCGCTCATCTTACCACTTGGCCCCGGGGCAGAGGTCCCAAACCATGCAGAGCTCAGCCAGAAGCTGCGGCTTCTACTTACTGTTTTTGCCTTCCAACTTTTTCGATAGATAAACACTTAACACGTTTTTGCGAGTGATTTAAATACTTGCCCCCACCCTCCGGTCGGTCCTATATTTACCAGCCATTCAATCACTTTTGGAGAGCCCTTCTGCAAGGGGTTCCGCCACATCCACATCCCGTTAGCGTTTTGATATGCAAATACTTTGCACAGGTTTTCACCATTTTTCTCATTTAAGGCGTTTATTCCTTGTATTCCCTGTCTGTTTGACAGTCTGCTACCGTCACGTTATGTCAAATTTATTGTTTGGTTTGTTTTGTGCGATTGTCACGTTTTTGTTTTGATTACTTAATGCCTTAAATGTGAGTCCATAGATTCCCCAGGGCGGCGAATGTACATAAACTTAAAGGAGCACACTTTTACATTTTATTTAAGAAAATATAAACTTTAATTATAAGGAGTGTTCTAGTCTGTTTCGCTATTACTATCGGAGCTTTTATCCCCAGACAGATCATTGTCCACATCCGTATCCTCCGATTCCGAACACGTTGGGCTGGGTGAGCTGTATTCTGAGCTTGGCGCTGAACTCTCGCCGGAACGATCCTCGTTCTCCTCTTCGCTATTCGACTCCTGCTCGTCGTTGCTCTCGTTGCCGTATTGACACTGATCCTCCTTGTCAGAATTGGCCACGAACAGCGAGTCCGAGTTAATAGGCGGTTCTATTGATCGACTTTCCTGTGTGAGGGACTTTTACAACATTTACTATGCCCTGATGGCGTTGCCAAACTTACCAAGATCATATCTCGGTTCTGGGCATCGTTCAACTGCTTCAGCAAGGCATTCCTCTCCATCGAGTGATACTCACGCTGGAGATGACATTCCGACTGTAGTTCGTGGTTTTCCGTGCGCAGGTTAAACATATCGCTCAAGATCTGGTGCTGCTTCTCAACTAAGGTGGACACCAGCTGTTCCAAGTTCTCAATTGTGACCTCGTATTCGCGCAGCTTCTTCTTCAGGAGCCAGTTTTCCGCACGGCAGTCGGCTAGGTCAGAGGCCGACACTGCAGAATCTGTGACACTCGGCTCTGCAGGTTCTTCTTCCCCAGCACTGGAGAGAGATTGGATGGTAGCTTCGCAATTGGACTCGATAGTAAACTCACTCTTTTGGGGTGACCTCTGTTGAAGACCCGTCGTCGTTGGCTGGCAATGGAAGCTGCGTAAGGCTCTTGGGGCTGTCCACAACTGGCGAATGGAATTCGCAAATACAGGACATTTTTGATTAGTTCTGGAATCATTGACAGCTTTGATTGATATCACATTCAGAGGTGACTAGTTTATAGGAATACCGAAATTCCTACTAAACTTCACTTGCTTTTCGCCCGATAACCAGCTTGACTCCTTCCAGTCGATGCGATGATATTCCTGCCAGTCCCAAAGTCGACTATTAAATTAAAACTGCCTTTGCAGATAAGGGAGTTGAGACGACCCGCGTCCACGCAAGTACTCCACTTTACAGACTGTGCACCCCGTGCCGAACTCCCTCCGAGCTCCTGGACAGTGCACACTTTACGACTTGACATTTTCACACTTTGTTGGCAACGTTTTGGATGCTTCCTACACACTCCATCCTGCAGGCAGGGCCACTGACTTTCGGCTCGTCCTTGGTGCTGCGTCAAAGTCGACGTCAATGCAGGCAAGGATCCGGGATGTGCAAATGTGTGGCTTCTGCCGGGAGAGCAAGCGAGGGAAGCGGAGTGGGACTGAGTACACTTTTTGTGTGCGTCGGTGGATTGAAGTGCAAAATTGGTTTAAGTGTTTGCTAAATTGGCAGCAAAATGGCTTTTTCAATTTATACTCAACGTTTATGTGCGGATCCGCAGATGGTGGTGGAGTTGCCCAAAAAGTTGCACCACAAAAACTAAACACTTCTTCCACATTTTTCCCTTTCTCCTTTTTTTTTGGCAAGGATTGCTGCCTTGCTCAGGGTAATTGATATTTGGGAACTTTGTCCCGTTTGTTGACTTTGGCATTGGGCGGTGACCTAGAGGGTCCACCTAACTGCTCGCAATTATAGTGCCTAACTATAAATAAATGCGATTCCAGGCCGGAGCACACACACCACTCCCACCGGTTAATTCACACGCTCGCTATCGACTCTTAATGGCCTCCTCCGGAACTCAATTTCCTTGCACATATCATTTATACCTGAGATAATCATGGCTTACACCCAGGCTAGACACACATATACGAGGGCTCGTATTTTACGGCCTATTTGCGCCGACCCAAACAGCGAGCCCAGTTGAAGTGGAATCGTAATCGTGATACCTAAACAACGCCAAATTACATACCAGAGGGCGCTACGCAGACCATGTTAACATAAATTTCTTGCGCCTCCTCAGTTTGTAGGAAAGCCACCACCACCTCTAAACCACCTCTAAGCCCAACTTGAAGCCAGACAACACATGCAAGCGCACATTTAAAAAGGCATAAGTCATACGTGGCTAATAAATTGATTTGCTAAAGTGGATTAGAGTTCGTTGCTATGACATATACAGGATGCTCCAAGCCCAGTGCTGAAAGGTATCCTGAGTCGGTTTAGAAGGAGCATACTAGACGCTGTGGAGGCCCCCTGTACGCTCGGCTCAAAGCCAACTATTTTTAACTCTAACTATGTGAGCATTTGGGAGAAAAGTCTTCTGCCCACCGAGAGAGGAAGGAAATTATCGAATCCCCAAAACGCCGGCTACACTCCTTGTAGGCTCACTCGTACTCTGCTCTCCACGAAAAAAAAAGGAAAACGCTTAAAATGCCAGTTTGAAGTCTATTATTTGCTGGACACGAGCATATATTGATTGCATCGCAGTCGTCTTGGTCAGCCCCAAGATTCAGGAAAGCAAATTGCTTCAGCAAATACTCGTACTCGTACTCGTACTCGTACTCCTGGACTCCTCCGCGCGGGCAAGGGGCCTGGAGATGGAGATGTGGCTATTGATGTCGGTGGAGTGGCAGGGGGCGGTGGAAATCACATGGTAATCGGTGCTCTCTGCGAAACAGAAACCAGAAATATAAAAAGCAATCGGAGTCGAGTTTTGGCAAGAGGTGTTCCACCACCACACCACACAACAAACCCGTTTGCAGGCGCAAAGTGCAGATCCGTTCGGAGAGTTTGCCAGAGTCTGCTGCCTCGGCGGCTTCGTGTAGTGCAGCATTTAGCGTCTTGATCGGTTTATCACCGATTAATTAGAGTTTGATAAATACGCGCACGCCGTGAGTATATAAATCATAGCAGCCAAAGCCGAGACAGTGCTGCAGAGTAACTGAAGCACCGCGATATGATGGGGAATAGGTCCCGAAATATTCGTAACGGCGGAAAAAGGAAATTTGCATATCCACCCGCCCCCGTATGGTTAAAAGTAGCAGTCAAATTGTAGAGGTAAACATGTTTTATTTTTTACATTTTTTGATTTTTTACCGCATTTAGCATTTCGCTTTGTTTTGGGCTGTCGCTGCTTCTGCGTCTGACGTGGCCACACACAAGCCCAGTGTACTTTGAAAGGCTTCGAGCTGCGGCCGGTGGCAGCAGGCAGCAGGTGGCAGTAGGGTGGTTGTGCAAAAGTGCAAAAATATCTTTGAACATTTTTCTGTGTGAGAATTAATTATGAAAGAACGTCCTTTGAGATGCGCTTGACGGCCACGATGAGATGACGACAGGCGGCTCTGATGAACAGGAGTTTTATGAATGCTAATTTGAGGTTATTTTTTGGGCTTGAATTTTTGAATTTTAGGGTGGCTTAGGCAGGCAAGACAGTCACACAAACCGATGTATCAAGTCCTTTAAGGGGGGGGTAAGGTATTTAATTTTTTTTTCGTAAATTTTTTTTTATTTTTTATTTTAAAAGTTCAATATCTTAAGAATATTGTGTCCAAGTTTTACATCAATCATAGTAAAATTGACGAAGTTATGCGGAGCTGAACGAAGGTCGGTTGGTGTTCAATGCATGAGAATCACAAAGTTTAAAGCGCTCTCCTGAAAAATGCCATTTTGAAAATCGGTGTACACGATAACTAAAAATATACTGAACCAATCGGTTTGAAATTTGGAACATAACTTCTTTAGATAATTCTATAGGTATTCTCGTCGAGCTTTTTTTAATTTTTAATTTTCTTATATTTTTTATTTAACAAATTAACTTAATTTTTTAGTCAAAAATCGGGGTTTTGACTTCAAATTTTGATTAAAAATAGGAAAAAAATTTTAAAAATAAAAACGCTTCGAGAATACCTCGGGACACTTATCCTTTAACGAATGGGGTATAATTTTTGTAGATCGGATGATTCTGTGGACAGTTAGGATGTACACCGCAAACCAACTTTTTTGGAGGCGACTCGGGAGATTCCCTATAACTCCTCTACCTCTAAATATTTTTCAATACAAAATTTATCACAAACTGTTCAAATGTTGTGTTATTATATGGTATTTAATTCGTTAAGCTAGCTTTAGCCGTTTCGCCACAACATTTTTTTGAAAAGTGGGCATTTTTGCACCGAATTAACCTTACCCCCCCCTTAAAGAACTCACTGAAAAATGTAGAAAAATTGCTAGAAGTTTTTTTAAGTACAAATAAAAATTATTGGAAAATTCATAAAGCGTTTAATGTGCTTTTAATGCTCAAAATTTCCAAAGCCCAAATATCCCCCTGGCCGGGGGATGCGATATAGCTGAGTTTAACTGGACATACTTCTGTGCTGACTGCTCATTTTAATTTGGCCTTTCACTGCCACATTTACGAGAATAGTATACCACGGGGAATGTCTTATGGTTTATTACCAAGAGCGCTCCCCCCTACCACTGTTAAGCAGCATACAACAGAAACTAGGATGGATGTTATTATTATTCGACGACTACTCGGCACCATGATTGCTACCTTTTTGCTGCACTCGGATTGCATTTGTTGGGCGACGTCTTTTATTCTTGCCCATGGCAGTGGCAGGAAAATGTTGACCACTTTCTGCATGGTAGAGTTTTCACTCCACTTCAGCCTCCCGCCGTCCGCTTTCCTCGCCCAGTTTTCAGTTTTTGTCGCACTGAAATTGCTCTCGAGATATCTTCGTTACGGAATGAATGACTACTTGGGGCCTGGGTGCTTGGCTCTTGCGAACGGACCCAAAGTATTTGCGGTTTTTTCTTCACATCCTTTTGCACAATTATCCTGATTTCAATATTACTGCGTCATAAACAAAAGCGTAGTCTGACCCCCGACAAGTTGTGCGGAAAGGGGTGACCAGGAGGGTGACCGAGTCCAAGGATTGTATACAAAATTATTATTATTTGCTTGCTCAGGAATTTTTAGTTGTTCTTGAAGTTTCTTATCCCGAACCACTGGACACTGGCCCTGTCCAGTGTGCGTTTCATGTGACCTGACCGCCCAAGTTTGTCGTTTCCATTTTAGTTCGTTATAGGAGGTCTGCTTGAAAAGGATTAAAAAGAAATAACAGGAAATTATGTCGAGAATTTATTTGTAAAGTATAGAATAGTTTTGTGCTTTCTATTTATTTATCCATGCATCTGTATTGATAAACGTATTCTCATGGTTATTTTTCCTCCTTGCACATTTTAAATGCTTCGAAATAAGCTGCTGCCCATGCCCCACCATAGTCGTAAAATTGGCTTAATTTGTTGAAAGTGGCGCCCTTAAGTCACGGAAAATAGCCCAGGGCAATGACGGGCCAACTTTTCTGCAGAGCCATAAAATCCTGTACTCCACTGCCAAAGAAATCCCCCTCAAAATGCCCTTCTTCTCGAGCTGTCTTTCTCACAAAGCACACGCGCTGACATTTATCAAAAAATTCAACTGTCATTTATTGCGTTCGCGGTGCGTATTTAAATGCCTTTGGTTTTTTGCACAAAGCAATTGAACATTCATAAGCCCAGATCTCCATTACCTCAGCAACCCGCAAAAGTACAAAACCCAATAACCCAATATTTGGGAAATTGGCTGTCGGAAAGCAGCAGGGGAAGGATGTAAGCGCTCCCACCCACCACTCGTTTGCGAATTTTCCGACTGGCGAATTTTTCCAGAACAAAGCACTCAACGGGACACGTGACAGTTGTTCTTGTGTGTTCCCGCCTGCAAAATAAGGTTTCGCTTTTCATTTTCCACCTCCCACCACCCAGTTTCCCGATTTTTGCGATGTGCCGAACGTGTGTAGCTGTCGCAGTCAAGTGTGTAATTTGCGGTAGCTTTTTAAGAGGGTTTGAATAGATTACTTCATTTAGATTGAAGCCAGCAGGTGTGGGAATGAAGGATGGGGCGTTTAATCGGA